GCCGCCGCCCAGCTCATTGCCGCCGCCGCCGCCCAGCGTGTTCCTGCCGCCGCCGCAGCCGCCCGGCTCGTTCCCGCCGCTGCCGTGTCCGCCCAGCTCGTTCCCGGCATCGCCCCGGCCTGTGATGCTCCAGGTACGGCCCTCCCCCCTTCCCTTCTGTTCCCTGCGGCGCTGCGTGTCGAGGCCGGGATGGAATACCCCGGGCCGCCGCAGCCAAGCGCGAGGGGGAACGCCAGACGCCTCGTGTGAAGGGAGGAGGCCTGGCGACGCTGCGCCCTGCCGGGCGCTCACCGACAGGGCCGGGGGGGCCGAGGCGGCCAGGGAGGAACAGCTAACTGCCAGCAACCAGCCGGAACTGCTGGGGCCGGCCCGTATTGAAGAATACGGCCGAATTTACCCAGGCTGGCCGAGAAAGGCGCACCTCCAGCCTTCCCCGCAACCAGGAGAAGCCCCCTCCCTTTTGCAAGGTCGCCCCCTCCCCGCTTTTGGGGTGGGGGAGAATTGAGAGAGAGAGAGAGAGAGACAGACAAACACACACACACACAAAGAGGAGAGGGGAGCCGGCCGGCCCACCCGTTTCCCCCTTTCCCTGCGCGAGCGTGTGTGGATTTCCCCCCCCCTTTTTTCTGCCCGCCTCTCTCGCCTGCCCAGTTCCAGCTTCTCACTATCCAGGCGTTTCTGCAAAGCGGGTCGAGGGAGGGCGGGGCGGTTGGTGGGAAAAGAAAAGATGGAGCAGTGGCCAAGGGTTTATAAAGCAAGCGGTGGAGTCCTGCAGCTCAGAGGCGACACGGGGGGAGGGAATCGGAGCTAACCGAGGAAGGAGGCGCTGCTGCTGCTGTTTCTGCTGCCGCTGCCGCCAGCCGGGGCATAATACGGTAAATAAATACGAGCGTAGGGGATCCACGCGTGAACGAAGCCCCACTCCCCCGCCCCCTTTTGCTTTCGCTCCCGAGCCGGCGCTTTTGAAAAGGGCTTGACTCCAGCCTGGGATTCGGAGCAGGAGACGCCGCTGCTGCTGCTGCCGCCCGCGCTGCTGTGGACTTACAATATCCGAGCAAAAGACTTTGCAAAAGACCACCCCGCCAACGGGGAAAGGCGCGCAGTTGGGCACCGTCTTCCTTCGGCGTCTCTTTAAACGGTGCTAGGATATTGTAAGTCCACAAAGAACTGGGGAAAAATATTGACTCGAGTATAAGCCTAGGGGGGCATTTTTCAGCTCAAAAAATGGGCTGAAAAACTCGGCTTATACTCGAGTATATACGGTATTCTTGCCTCTAGTAAGACAATTGACATGCTGAAAATATCTTGGTAGGTCTTGGCTTAAGTTAAGCACTGTTGAAATCTGCTAACACAAGAAGGAGCAAATCTGCGTATCTGTCTTCAGCCCACATAATCAAGTCAGCTAGAGTTTGTAAAGCATATCCCACCTGAGACAGGACATGGTAGGATTAACTCACAAAGGCCAAAGGGCACACCCAAACTCATGTCAGAATACATGACACAGGAAATAGCCTCAAAACAGGAACAGGAAATAACTCCAAACAAAAGGCTCCAGAGTGTATAAAAGCCTATTCCCTACATGAGCTAAGCCCTTTTTTTTTTCACTTCTCTTGCTGCCAGAACCATTTTCCTGTCTGGCTCCCCTCTCCAATAAACTACAACCTTCTTCCCAAAGCAGTTGCCATGTTTATTCCCAGCTTGGATGAACCACGATGAAGACCTTTCCTCCAACAATACATTGCAAACGGAATGAATGAGGAAAACTCTCATGGAGAATAAAATGGTTTACAATTGATAATTAATGTCTCTAATTCCACATCACAGAATTTCTTTAGTGTGGTTACATTTTTACACCATCGGATGTTGATATAGAAGTAGAGACGCCATTCCTTTCTTTTTACCGGAGGTTTCTGCAATTCTGTCCGGCCTCTGTATCTGAAATCCTGGGAAATGCCAGCTGCTATCATCAATTGACTCATTTAGCCAGGTTTCAGTGAAGCAGAGGGCGACTGAGTTGTAAAAATCAGAGTTGCATCTCTTTAAAAGAAGTATTTCATCCATCTTATTAGCAAAAGAGTGAAGGAAGAGGTTTTTATTCCATTTTTCCTTAGTCTATTCAAAATCCATGCTCGCTTACCCCTTCTTCGCCCGTTGTCTCCTCTTGTTTTTGTTTTTCCATTTTTTAGAGAGAGCTGCCACTTCCTTGATGACAATCTCCTCTGCATTTATAAAGAGGGGGGGGGAGTATAGTCACAGAAAGCTCCCCATTAAAAAAACATTGCTTGATGCTTAACAGTTAGTCTCTTGAACATGAAACGCAAAGCAAATCACAAAAAATAATAAAAAACCAAAAAGCTATCAGAGAACATTTTTACCGAGAGGCTGCTGTAAGAGGCCCATTCTTGAGGGGGAAGAAGAGACGCCATACCATTCCTGTATGCAACCCTCCCCTCAGATTCCTGTTAATATCTTCTGTGGCATGGAAATGTATTTTATCAGCAGAAAGCATTGTGAAAGAAATCCATTTTCTATACGAAAAAGGAAACCTGTGCAGTTTTTAAATTTTTCTTTGAAAGCTCTTCTCTCACACTTCCTTTATTGATATGGTTTCTCCCGTGTATGGATCCTTCTATGCCAAGAAAGAGTGGAATTCCTGGCAAAGCTCTTCCCACACTCCATGCATTGATATGGCTTCTCCCCTGTGTGGCTTCTCTTGTGGGAGATAAGAGAACAATTCCACCTAAAACCCTTTCCACATTCCACACATTTATATGGCATATCTCCTATGTGGACCGTCTTGTGGTAATTAAGACTACTGCTATAGGTAAAGCTCTTTCCACACTCCATGCATTGATATGGCTTCTCTCCTGTGTGCATCCTCTTGTGGGAATTAAGATTAGTGTTACGAATAAAGGTCTTTCCACACTCCATGCATTTATAAGGTCTTTTTCCTTTGTGATTCCTATAATGGATTGTAAGAGAGTAATTGTAAGAGAAGGTCTTTCCACATTCCAGGCATTGATATGGCTTCTCTCCAGTGTGGATCCACTTATGGGAATTGAGACGATTGCTACAAGTAAAAGTTTTTCCACACTCCATGCATTTATAAGGTCTTTTTCCTTTGTGATTCCTATGATGGATTGTAAGAGAGTGCTTATAAGAGAAGGTATTTCCACATTCCATGCATTGATATGGCTTCTCTCCAGTGTGGATCCTATTATGGGAATTGAGGTTAGTGCTACAAGTAAAGGTCTTTCCATATTCCATGCATGAATATGGCTTCTCTCCAGTGTGGATCTTCTTATGGGAATTGAGATGACTGCTACAAGTAAAGGTCTTTCCACATTCCATGCATGAATATGGCTTCTCTCCAGTGTGGATTCTCTTATGGGAATTGAGACTACTGCTACAAGTAAAGGTCTTTCCACATTCCATGCATGAATATGGCTTCTCTCCAGTGTGGATTCTCTTATGGTAATTGAGACCACTGCTACAAGTAAAGGTCTTTCCACATTCCATGCATGAATATGGCTTCTCTCCAGTGTGGATCTTCTTATGGGAATTGAGACTACTGCTACAAGTAAAGGTCTTTCCACATTCCATGCATGAATATGGCTTCTCTCCAGTGTGGATTCTCTTATGGGAATTGAGACTACTGCTACAAGTAAAGGTCTTTCCACATTCCATGCATGAATATGGCTTCTCTCCAGTGTGGATTCTCTTATGGTAATTGAGACCACTGCTACAAGTAAAGGTCTTTCCGCACTCCATGCACTGATATGGCTTCTCTCCAGTGTGGATCCTCTTATGGTAATTGAGACCACTGCTACAAGTAAAGGTCTTTCCGCACTCCATGCACTGATATGGCTTCTCTCCAGTGTGGATCCTCTTATGGTAATTGAGACTACTGCTACAAGTAAAAGTCTTTCCACATTCCAGGCACTGATATGGCTTCTCTCCAGTGTGGATCCTCTTATGGGAATTGAGACTACTGCTACAAGTAAAGGTCTTTCCACATTCCATGCACTGATATGGCTTCTCTCCAGTGTGGATCCTCTTATGGTATTTGAGACCACTGCTACAAGTAAAGGTCTTTCCACACTCCATGCATTTATAAGGTCTTTCTCCCTTGTGATTTCTTTCATGACTTCTAAGAGAGTAATCATTACAGGAGGTCTTTCCACACTCCCTGGAGTTATATGGTGTGTCTTCTAAATGTGTCTTTTTATGGGAAATAAGATGATCAGATTTATTAAAGGACTTTCCACACTCCATGCATTTATATGGTTCTTCTCCCATATCAATGCTTGTATGGTTATGACGCCAACTGACCCTCGGAAAGCCTTTTTTCATTCCACCTTGTGATTGCTTTGTTTCATCACTCTTTGGCTGTATCTGATCTGGAAACTTCCCTTTTCCCTCTTTTGAATGGATCATTTGGCATTCTTCCTTGCAACTCTTATTTTCTTGCCCATTAAAGCCTTGAAAAAGAAAAAAATGAAAACTTTAGCAAGAATAGGGGGAAAATCAAACCTCTTCTTCCTGATCTGATCTTTGACCTGGGACTATTTCATAGTTCCACGTACTCCCTAAGTGCACCGAATATTGTATCATGCTGGATTAGCAACATGCCCACCAGCTACCCAACTTCAATGAAAGTGTCATCTCCACTTGTCTACAGGGAAGAATCTTTGAAAGCCAAGGGGAATTCCTGGATGGCAATAGCTCCCCACCCTCAACTTAGGCTAATATTAAACTCTGTACACAAGTGGGCACATCTCTAGGAAGAGAACATCCCTCTCAGGGCTAAATCCAGTCCTGCTTATAGCAGCTCACGCCCATCGGGGAGCCAATGACAGGCTCAGGAGTGGATACTGAACCCCTGGTAGGCAGGACCTTGCTCAAGAGAGGCCAGACCATCCCTGCATGGAGCCTGTTCCTCGGATTCTGGCCAATATCTTCTATGGCATGGAAATGAATATGTTGTATTTTATGAGCAGAAAGCATTAAAAAAAACCCACACATTTCCTTTATGTAAAAAGAAAGGCAAGACAGTCTCTCAATTTTTCTTCCAATAAATTTCCTTCTTCCATAAAGTCAGTTTGGTCAAACGATCAAGGCACCAGGCTAGAAACTGGGTGACTGGGAGTACTAGTTCTGCCTTAGGCATGAATGCTGGCTGGGTGACTTTGGGCCAGTCTCCCTCAGCTCAATCCAGGTCACAAGGTTCTTGTTGTGGGGAAAACAGCAGGAGGAAGGAATATTGGGGTTTGTCCGCTAGCTTTATTATTTACAAAAAGTAAAGGCAAGATTATCAATAAATGATGTTTTTTATCAGAAATATCATCTAAGCCCCCCCACACCCCATGACTTCTATGTTTCTGAGCACAGACAGGGATTCTTACCCAGAGAAGCCAGATTCCTGGAATTCTCCAGCATGACTTCTCCGTGGAGAGCTTTTTGGGCAGGGTCCAGCTGAGACCACTCCTCCATGGAGAAATACACGGCCACTTCCTCAAAAGACACAACATCCTGGAGAAGAAAAGAAATTTCCCTATTAACAGATAATCCCAAGAATAATTTGAGGTTTTTCTTCCATTAATTCTAGGAAAGAGATCCAGTGAACAAAATGGGCATCCTTGGTAGAATTCAGAGTGAGATCTCACCGCTTTTGGCTGATGACATAACTGAAGCAGATTGGATCTAGTTGGAGGTATTTGGAATGCCTTTCAGCATAGCCAACTAAAGTAGTTTTCTTGGTCACTTGGTAGTTAGGTCTTAAATCCACTTAGTATCTATGGAGATTCTCAATCACCAGATCACAGTTGTCTCAAAGATGATTTCAAAAGGCAAAATAAGGATTTTTTTGTAATGGTGTGTGAGAATGACCCTGGGAGACAGAAGGAACAGCCCCAATGCTCACAACTGTCTGGTCAATGAAATCTGATGGCAAAGCAGGAGGAGAAAGCATCTCACAAATGTTCAATGACCTGATGTCAAATTTGTACTGCTTAGAAACAACAATTTTATACGTTGAATGCTAGAACAAAATGAAATCCATCCAAGATTCATGGACCTTTTCTGACGTTTCTCCTCCTTACCTGAAGTAGAGGTTCAGCCAATCCTTCAGTTCCACCACAAAGAGGAGGTGACTCTACAAATTCCACGGACAGCTTTCCACTCTCTGTGAGACAGAGAAAAATGGTGGAAGCAGATTTGTTAAAGAGAAAGATTCAAATGAAGTGCAGCAAAACAATCAGCTAAATGTTGGAATCTCACATCACACAGAAAGAGCTTCCATTACCTAGCGTGGTATCCTGACTTTCACCTTTCTGGAAGCTCTCCTCGAACAGCAGCTCTTGAGAGGGTTTGGATGAATCTTTTCCCCCCTTGGGATACTCAGTCGTAGCTTCCAAGGATTTCTGGACATGATGTGATAGGAGAAACAAAGGAAGAGCACAGAGATAGAAATGAATTATCATACTGCAGCTTCAAACTAATAGACACCAATATCCTTTGTTGAAACCCGAAACAGAATGGAAGAATTGCTCCAAATATATCCTCTGGAAGAATAGAACAACTCGCTTTAGGAGTTAATAATTCCAGAAAACTCGGACAGAAAGGAATTGACAAATTCAGAGAGATCCTCTTTAGACCTGTTAAGACTATATTCTCAGACCTGGAACTCTTCTTGCATCTTTTCCACATCCACGTTCAGCAAGAAGCCTTCGGCCAGGGCCACCGCCTGGGAACTGGTTTCTGCTCCACACTCACGCACCCATTTCTCCATCTCTGGGGGAAGGAAAGCCAGGAACTGCTCCAGGAGCACCAGGTCCAGGATCTGGGCCTTTGTGTGTCTTTCTGGCTGCAGCCACTGACAGCAAAGGCGGTGAAGCTGACTGCAAACATCTCGGGGACCCCTCCCCTCCTGGAACTGCACTTTTCTGAAGTCATAGCATTGGACCTCTGAACTGTTGGCTTCATGTTCTTGGTTCTTCTGCCCAGGACTTGCCCCATTTATCTCAAAGCTCCAAGACTGAGCAGCTGCAGGGCTTTTTCCAGCTGGGCGTTGCCCCTCCATCTTCTCTCTGATCTCTAATCCAGCTCCAAAACAGACTGATGGATCTGCACAGGTCTTCCTAATCAGAAGAGGTCTGTCAAAATTTCCTAAGTCTATTTAGCCCTCTTCGCACACAAGATACTTAAGACTCAAGAGCAATCAGGAAAGATTTCCAACTTATATATCTGAAATGGAAAACAAAAGAAAATTCCAGAAATACAGGTTGACCAACTTAACAACTGAACACACACAAAAACTGAAATAAGAAATTCTTATGAACCCACCAATATCTGGGAGGATGGGGAAAATCTTTGTAGGTAGTGATGTATCTCTGTGTGGAAAAAAAATCTGTAGTAACCTTCTGGATCAACAATTGGATACATAAATTTAAAATATGTTTTTGATTTCTTATTCCTACTTATTCAAATAATTTTGATGGTTGCTTGCAGCATGAAAACCAACCTCTGTACAATCCAGATCATCAATGTCTCAGGTCACAAATAGCCATTGAGATGAGTGTCTTTCTAAATCGATTTAATAAGTAAATCAATCCAACAGAACCTGATTAAACTCCTGACCCAAACTGTAATGGCTACCTGAGAAATCACAATCAACAAACCACCATTCAATGCAAATAGAATACCCGAATCAGTAAACCATAGCTTAACATGATGTTTTCATTCACGCATCTCCTGGAAACAGGTTCCCCACTTTTAGCCTAATCCTGAATGGCTCCGACCTTTCTGGCGATCCTGATTTTCATCCTGGAGGCAACGCAGCGCGTCCGGAGCTTTGATTTCTTCCCTGCCTGGCCCGTGCATGCACAGGGGCGGCAGGGGAACATGGGACCCCGGGCTCCCCCCTTTCCACGCCTCCGAACCTGATGAAGTTTTGGTTGTCTCCATGCACGTTCCAGCCCGTGAAAGAAACATCCCCACACACAAAGCTCCCTTGCAGCCTGTGGGACTCCTGGGAAGGCTTAGCCTAAGGCTAAGGAGGAGGAAGAGAGAGAGACACAGAGAGAGACACACCGAGAGAGAGACACAGAGAGAGACACACCGAGAGAGAGACACAGAGAGAGAGAGAGCAAAATCACACCTCCATTCCTCTTCTGGACAATGCATAGAGCATGTCTCTCGACCTGCTGGAAGAGCGCATGCTCAGTTCTCTCCTGAAGCGGGGGCAGGTGAGGGCTTTGTAACGGCAGCCCAGGGAGCCCCCTGGTGGATCCTTCATGCAACGCTAGATCGACGCTGCAAGGGAATAGGGGAGATCGTCATGTTCCATGCGGGCCTGGGATGATGGGCATTGGAGTAGAAGGAAAGGGTCCCTCTAACATTCCCTGTCTCCAGCAGGCAACATTTTCTAAGAACGATCTGCCATCTTGTGAATATTGACAAAATCTCTGTGGCGGCTCAGAAGAAACAGGAGCCTCTCTTTCAAGCCCCGGCTGTGTGATGTGATTGTTGGCAAACTCAGTCCTGAAGTGAGGGAAGATAAAGGGGCTGGCAGAGTCGCAAAATAGGAAGTGAAGGGGTCGGAAAACTAAGATGTGTATTGATTTTTTTATTTGGTGAGTTCAATTATTACAGCTGCCTTTTCAAATTCTTGCCTCTGGGAGGCCAACTGTGGTTCAAAACAGCAAGTGGCAGCAGCAAAAATGAGAATAATCCTGAAGAAACCGCATCAAAAGTAAACAAGTTCCAAAATGGAGAGAAAGCTCAAATCATGGAAGTTTTAGAAATTTTACCTCAAAACAAGGATCCATGATGGAGAAATGAATGGTGTCTCATTGGTGACTGGAGAAAAGGTGGAATTACAAAATGCCGGAAGGCAAACCTTGAGGAGTACATATAAAGTTCAAATTCCATGAGGGGAAAAAGGGAAATGGCCTCATTTCAGTAGGGAATACAGCTCAGGAAATATGAGCAGGAATTTTGAAGACTGTAAGGCAACTGCACTAAAGAAAATACCAATTTTCTTCTAGCCAAAAGAGCTGAAAAGTCCCGGGATTTGAAGAGATTAGTCTGGATTTGGAGGTGACAGTGCAAGAACAACAAAGAGATTGATCTAAATTAATGAAATAAAGAAATGGGGAAATAGAGTTAAGAAGCAATTTAAAAAGAATGCAATTAGCATCTCTCTCTTGCCAATAGCTTGGTCCTTTTCAGCAAATTTTTCTCAGTCTTTAATACACTTGAATTTTAAAAAGTCTTATGAATAACCATACCGGTAAT